CATGTGAGGGGTGCTTTCATGCACCTTCCATCCTCTTTAGATTTCCCTTGGTGGGGAAGGGATGAAGAAAATGGGGCTTCGCATCTCTGGGCTGTACAGTTTGATAAAGAAGAGACAGTGGTTGATGGACACTCTGCCCCAATGCAGTACTTGTACCACTCTCCTTCTCATTCTTTGCAATAGCAAGGGAGAGATCATACCCTTCCTTGGGGATGCCTTGCTGCTGGACCTGACAAGCAGTGAGATGCTTGCTCTGACAGGACAAGCTGCTTGGATGCATCCCCCTTTTCCTTCAGAACAGCCTAAACAGGACTTGTGCTCCCAGTGCTCCCATATAAAAGTCTGTCTTGCTTCAAACTTGATTTCCAGTTCCTGTGCTCTGGAATCCTGGCAGGACTGTACTATGGCTCAAGCCTCCAGTGCTGCCTGCAGTGCTGGTGCTTCATGGTGTCTATATGAACTTTGAAAGGAGCCAGAACTCAAATTGTCTGCAGTGGTATCTTCTGTTACACTGTAAACAAATTACTCCCTCAATCCTGCCATGTTCCTAACACACTGTAACACTGAGATGGTGAAACACCAGCAGATGAATTGCTCCGTGTGGGAAGACACTTAAAATATCCACCAATCTATGTATTCAGAGAGTGAACCACATGAGGCCCAGACAGGAATTGGTGATGCTACCCCAGTGTATTTGGGCCCTTGTGTGGGAGCCAACACTGATGTATTGGGTTCACATACATAATTTTGTGCCAATTGCAGTATCATGGTCAGAGGAGGTGGGACTCCTGTGTTTCTGAAGTGTTTGAGAACCAGCCCCATTATGGCCATAATTATTTCAAGAAACAGAATAACAGCCCTGCTTTGCATAAAAATTAGTAGAGGATGTCTGTTGCTGGCCTGCTTGCCCCATGTCTGCGATTAGGAGATTGCCTCCTCTAGCCCTACAGTTCTAGCAAAGCAGTACTACTGGTGTGTGTGGACAGGAATCAAAGCACAGCATGGAAACTTGGATGAACTTTTCTAGACACTCAAGATGTGGCCAGTTCCAGCTACCACAGTAAGAACGTCAGACAAGTTGCTGATGGAGGGAAGCAAGCAGAATTGAGCTTATGCTTCTTCCTACTGATACATTGACTGAGTGGTACAAAAAGGTGTAGCAAATCCCTTACTGCTACAGCGAGGACTGCAAGGGGAAATCACTGCGAAAGCTGAGGCAGCATTTCAGCTGATACAGAGAGCTTTTACAGCTGATGCCCTGAGGACTATTTTATACTTTGAGACAGTTGTTTTGCTGACAGTAACAGTATTACAAATAGCTGAGAGCTTCAAGTCCTGACTTCTGTCTAGGCTGGGGTCTGGGATAGCCCTTTGGGAAGGTGGAGCGAATCTTTGCTTGATTTGTCTGTTTTTCCTCCTCTTCTAAGCCATGTTAAATTTTATATGTGCCCTAGGAAACACTGTAGAGAGGGCTCTCTATATTTTAACACAAAATAGACAGCCTGCCCTTTCCTTTGGCACAGGGATCCCAAAGGTTGAAATAAATGTGTATGTTCCTCACAGAGAAGTACCCATTTGGTTGGGAAGGGTAATTGCAGGAGATAGATAGAAGCAAATGACACTGGCTAGCTGGCTTTGGCAGCATTTGCAGTGGAAATGCCATCCACATGAGACTTTATGACGTGGGCCCCTATGTGGGCAGCTAGTTTGCAGTGAAGACTCGTCTTTACTGCTACTGGTCGAGAGCTGGCTCAGCAGACTGCCTATTCTGTGGACTGAGGGTGGGCTTCCCCGTTCGCCCTTTTCTCTGACAGCAGCCACGAGAGGCTTGCTTGGCTGCTCTTCCTGTGCAGCACTGCAGCACCCTGTTTGACCAGACGCTGCGTCTCGCTGCAGAGATTATCCCTCAGAATTGCAATGAAGTTAAACAATGCCATTAAAAAATGCCCAACTATTTTTGTTGCAGCCCTTAACTACGTTGTATTTCCAGCAAGGAGATGGGCAACAGGAGGAGGGAGTTGTCTTGCTTTTTAATTATGATACTTGGGACTTACAGCTGCAGCGGGAAGCAGAAAAGGCCTCGGGAACAATTATTCAGGATTAAGATCCTGAGTTCTCCCTCCCTCCAGACTGTCAGTGCACAGCTGAGGCATGGCAGCTGACCCTACTGCCTTCGGGTCCCTTATGATCCAACTGATGTGCAGGGGTCACAGCTCAATTGCACCAGGGGGGAGAGCTGCTGAATGCCAGATTCTGACAGAGCTTAGAAACTCCACCGGGGAGGCTGTAAAAACAGAAGCAAGCACAGGAAATAATAACCAATAAGCGGGGCTTCCGATACAATCATGTTCTCATTTCAGTGTCAAGCAGCAGGCCAGGAATGAAGGGGAAAAAATACCATTCCCCTTCCTTTTTTGGCAATAATGGCTTGTAACCTCAGAGGAATCTCCAGCCTTCAGGGTCTGGCTCAACATTTTCTCACTCCACCTGGCTCAGTCTCATAAACACCCTGCTGAGCACTTGTTCTCTCCACAAAATGTCTGGAGAGATGTCTTTTGGACCTCACCCCTGTTTGGCACTCACAGGGAACTGTGAACTTCTTCACTTGAAGACGACTGATGGGTTTCTCTGTGATGTCCAGACACTGTCAGACCAATTTCCTTAAAAAGGCATGTTTAAATATTGAACAAAATTGTAGGTATTTTCTGAATGCCTTACTTAACTCCACAGTGTGTAAAGCCCTCGCTGAAGAACAGCTTTCTTGTCCCCAAAAGAGCCTTCTGGCTTTCAACAAATATACACAGGAATTGAATGGGAGGAAGAGCATGCCCTGAGGACAGCATCCATGCTGAGGTATAAATAGCTTCATTTCACTGAGGCCAAGCAGCTTCCTCAGACCAGCAGGCCAGATCCCAGCAGGCACTTGCAAGCTTATAGACTGAACTGCTGTGGCAGAGCTCTGCTTTGGGGTGGATGAGCAGCTGGCTCGCTAGGACACGGACAGGAGGGATCCCTGCTGACTTGCCTTTCTCACTATTTCACCCACCGAATGCATAGTACAAGCTGGTTCATTTTCTACCCACTTTTCCTTCAATAACTTTTAAAGCACAGGAGTCTGAGTAAGAGCTTTTAGAGCAGGGAGGGCGTACGACACAATTAAATTGTGTCTGAGCGAGGACAATCTTGGAGGGTGATTTAGATAAAACAGCCACCCAGCGCTGGTCTTCAGGGAAACCTTGGCACAGCAGTCCTTAGGCAACCAAAAGGACATCCTGCAATTTTTTTAAGATTAGCACTGTTCCAAGCGCGTCGCTGGCAAGCATTTCATAACTTGAGGTATTTTCTTAAGGAAAATGCTCAGGCAGTCCCAAAAGATCTATAACATTTCCTGCACGTGCTCCCACCATAAAGTAATGAAGACCTGGGTAGCCAGCCAGGGCACTGAATCAGGATAGAGAATTGAGTTTTCAATGCACTATTTCCTGAAGCGTAGGCATTGGGCTGGGTTAACAATATTAGATGAGGGGCATCTGAGCAGTGTGTAATGAGAAAAGGAAACAGCTCAGCACAAGAACTAGGGTGGATAAAGCAACCAGGGCTTAGAGTAACAGGGAAAAAGATTTTTAAAAAGGAAATAGAAAGGGAGAAAAAAATTACTTCAGGAACTAACAAGTAACACCAAAAAACTACTTTCCAATAAGAGGAAGGCTTGCTGGGAAAGCAGGATAAGGATAGAAAGGGACTATTTTCAACAGACATAAAGAGACAGGAAGATGTCATCCACATGAATCAAACAGGTGTGTTCACCTACTGAAGCAAAAGTTGAATTTAGCTGTGTGGGTATATCACAGTCCCCTTGGGATGGGAGTAACGCCTCATGATGGTTTCACCATCATTAGCAATACCATGAGACTATCAGAGCTGTCCAGCAAACACATGGGGTTTCTGCAAGCGTAAGTTTGCTGATCTATTCAAATAATATCAAACTCCTTGCCTCTCTAGCATTTGTTTTAGTAAGAGGATTCAAAGAATCACTTTTTAGCATTTATTAGAAAAATTAAATTAATTCATTTTCATGAGTACTTGTGGGGAACTGAATAGTAAGACTATTCAGCACCAATGGAGTTCATGTCATCCCCTATTAAAGGCACTGAAAGTCAGCTCCTTTATCTGACTACTCACAGTCTCAGCTTGGAAGATCCAAAATGATTCAGTGGTTTAGTAATGTGTTTGTCAAGTAGATTCGAAAAAAATTCAGCATTTTGGGGGAACGTTCTTCTAAGAAAAATTGGTTGCTCGGTATGTCATATTCACTCAATCACTGAGGACCACGCTCTTCTGAAGTTTCTGCTTCCATTTATTATTGGCTCTGAACTCAATGATTCCAACACATGGGGGAGAGGCAGTTCTGAGAGGACAAAAATGAGCAATGGGCCATTTTTTACAATAAAATTGTATAATTCAGCCATCCAGTTTTGGATGTCTCACAGATGTGAAGGACAAAGCAGTATACAAATGTGTAGGAGAGGGAGGAATTGCAAAGAATGCTGTCAGGGATTTTCATGTCTCGGGAGGAAGGGAAAGAAAGAGGACTTGGGTATTCAGGATGAATCTTAGGAAAAACACTGTGATAGCAAAACCCTTCAGAATAAAAGAATTTAGTCTTAAAAGGAAAAGAGGTTTAAAGAAATCAGCGTATCTGTTATTTGGAACACAAAACTAGATGGGACAATCTAGTTTTCAAGTCCTGGAATTGAACAAGATAGGTAATTTCTGGTTCTCACATCTCTGTCCCTGTGAATTCAGCTGGCATGAAAATCCAAATATATCCAGCTTTTTCAAAATGTCAAAGCTGGTGCTTGCTCCAGCGCTGGGTCACTGGGGCGGTGGTATGTGTGAAAGCATCTGAATTGGGTGGTTTGTTCTACCTAGGACAGATCCCACAGTTGAAAACAACTTACATTACCAGAAAGCCACAATAACAGAAGTGAAATTCTTACCTTTAACAAACACATAAATCTTGGCCATGAGATCCTCATTAGATGGGGAGTCATCATAAATGCAGGTGAAGTAACCGGTGTCATTAGCTATGACTTTCCTGATGACAAGCATGCTGCAGCTTTGCCTTGTGGTATTGCGACAATTAGTTATGAACACCCGGGGATCTTCCTTCTGGTCCGCCCTCAAAAGCCAGCTTACAGAAGTTGCTCCTCTGTCAACATAACACAGCAAAAGTAAGATAGAGTCATGACTTCAGACAAAATTTGGGCTTCCCTCTGGCAACTGTTATTGATATTCTCAATGTTCCCACTCTTGTTATTTGAAAATGAAGAATAAAGCTTGCTGGGTGCTTGTTTCCACACATAAGGAATTGAAGTGGATCACCCCACACTTTTCCCCAGAGCAGGGGAGATTTCCTGAAATAGTCTGTGGGAACTGTAGCAAGCTAGCTTCTGGAGGAAAGTTGAATTTTTATTTTCACAGACTTCCAAACATGAGTTTGATTTTATAATACTGTATTTTAGCCACAGACAGCACCAGATAAAATTATATGTTTCTTCTCACCTGAGGACCTTGCATATTTTAACAGCTAAATTAACTAATATTTTCTTACACTAAGGCTGCATGGAGAGAGGAGAACATTTATGTAACTTCACATCACCTTTCTTGCTTAATCGGCAGTGACTCGATGTTGATTTTTGTGAAGGGTCTGGAACTAATCAGATTAAAAATCTTAGAATATCTGCTCAAGACACATTTTTTTTTTCAATTTGCCTTGTCACGGCAGTCAGAACATGAGCTAGCAGGGCAGATGATACACCATTTCACCCACCTGACCCATTTGTTGTCTTATCTATGATCACAGCTAATGTCAAATGCAATTCTATGTAGTTCACCAACAAAAAGCAAGGACTTTTTATAACCTGTTGCAAGGATCAGAGAGAGCTTTCAACTGATCTGAGTTAGCTCAGTAACAGGCACTGGCTGCGCTAGTCCTGTTGTGCTGGAAACAGAGCTCCAGCACTCTTGGAGCTCTTTTCTGCTTGGGCTGCACTTTGAGGACTCTGGTGATGTACTAGTACATACTATACATGCTTGTGAGATGAAGATTATGGTCTTTTCGTCATGGTCTTTTGATGGTCACAGTTGAAACTAGTGGGGTATGGGGGTAATCATCCGTGGATTTTTCTGGGGAAAAAGTTAATATTAGAGGGAGGCAGTTCTGTCTGTGATTGCAGAAAGAAGCCACTCTTCAAAAGGACAGGAGATTGACTCAACCCTTCACACTCAGTGAATCCCTGTTGACCCAATGACTTTTGCTGAGCTGAGGAAGGAGTAAGAACCTCTGGATTTCCCAGCTCAGTGTCGCCAGGAAGAAATCCGGTCTAGACACATCAATTCAGTATAGAGGTGCTAATACCGAATGTATCCAACAAGCAAGCTGTGTGAAGTGTCCAGTTAGCTAATAACTCTTAAGTACTCTTTCTGTGCCAGTGGCTTTGTAGTGTTGCAGTAGATGCAATAAGGGTATGCATTTGCCAGAAAATTCAGTGACACTTAAACAAACATCCTCTTGGCCCCCGTTTCTGCCTGTCCTTTTGTTGCCTTCCTGAAGATGATGTGGACGTGAGGCTGCACTCTTGAGGTTATTCCCAGCATGTAGCTGAATGAGAGTGTTGGGAAAAGTGTGAGTATCCTCTCTGGTGAACAGCCTCACCCCCATTTTTGGAAGCACCGGTGACTTGAACCACCCCACCTCATTCGTCATACCAGCTTCCTGTCCTTCAGGGTGCTGACATTTTTTGACGCGGAGGTCCCTACCCAGTGCTCTTTCCCTGCTTTGCTAACGTCATTAAATGACCACTTCTGTCAAGGAATGGGAGTCCTGGCCTAGAATATGGAACAATACCACATCACATTCGGGCACTCAATTCCCAGCATGTCACCATGTTCCTGCCCCTCTACCGTCACCTCTGGTGTCCCATCAGGGCTGGAAATCTGCACCAGTGGCTCTGCAGAGCAGGTCAGGGATTTCACACGCTTGCACTTCCTTACATGTGCCCACTTCTTCCTCCTGCATATTTTATCCTGGTGGAAGATGAAGACTTTGGCTATTGTTTTGGGATTTTCACACCTGGCAGAGGGGAGTTGCAGCAGTAGCTTTGGCCAGGCTGCCAAAAATCAGGAAATCCTGGAGAAGAATCTCAAATGAATGGAGTTTAAAGGAGAAGGGATGTTCACACAGTTACTACAGCTACCTGCTCAGTCTGCTGCCTCGTGCTGTGCTCCACACAGCCCTAATGCCCCCGGACGAAGGACTTCAGAGCTCTCTTTGGGCCAGTCCAGAGCTAATCTGTGAGTGTGCAGACAGTGCTGGGTCAGAGGAGGCAGGATGGCAGACATCCACAGAGGACCCGATACAGGGATTCTCGTACTCAAAGTGCAGAAATGACACTTCTATCTCTATTCCCAGCTCCTGTGTGACCTGAGGCAAGGAACTGAAGTGCTCTGGGCCTCTGTTCCCATGCTAGCACAGCAGCATGCTACCATACCTTTCTGTTTCTCAGATCCGTTGTGTGGATTTATTGCTTTGCATCCATAAAGCAGTTTGGGACTGAAGTGTTAATAATCATCTATTTATTCATCTGGTGAAAAGAGAAAAATAGGATGTTCCTACAGTTTAAAAAGGCAGTGGATGGAGAACTGCTGGAAAGTATTGATTTAATTGGCCTGGAGCACTACACCGAACTCATGGCCACATAGCGTGTTTTATGAAGCACTGCGTCTAGATTTTAAAGGACTATTTAAACTTTATTGCCATCATACTTGCTTCTTGCCAAGCTAAAAATACCACTTTAAGGTTGTTTTGACCTCATAAGCCACATGGCTAGCTGGAGGTATTTGGAAAAAAACTATCTTACACTCCAGAAGACATCACAAATTTACACAGTATGGGTCAATTTACTTTTCACTATAACAGTGAATTAAATAGACTAGGGCAAAAATCAGAAGGGACATATGTGTCAGCATAAACTACAGCTTAGATTTACCTTCCCACTGCTTTTTCTTACTGTTTCTAGTAACTTCTGTTGCAAGAAACCATCCACGTCTTGACTACAGTCAGGAGGACTTTGCAAGAAGGTGTAAAAATAATGTGTGTGTGTGAGAAACTGTGATAGTCTGTATCACCTTAAGCCTTCTCTCCTACAACTCTCTCAGAAGAAATTAAAAAACAACCTCTCACAGTAGCTTGGCGTATGAATCACACTCGGAACAAGTGACACCTACATACATCTCAGTCTGAGGCCTTTTGTGTGACAGAGCAAGCTAATGTATGTTCTGACACAGCAGAAAGTGCTCTGACTCTGTATTTGCTACTTAGTTGTGTGCCAGTCCGATGTGACCAAACGCTATATCCCCCATTTCCAGAGGATTCTGCCTGTAAACACATGACCAACATTTTGCTTGTTTCTTGTATGGTGAATTTTTACACATTGTGGCAAGAACTGGAGAGTTGCCATAATTTAAAATATCGGCAGTCTGGCTTTTTATGAGTCCTGGTTATCTTTGGTTTAAAGAATATGATATGTTTAAAAAGGTGGGGTCTTTGAAGGTACACATACTGACTTCTTTTTACTAACTGCCACCTTATAGGCTAGATGGTATTTGAGCTCGGGCAGTTTAAGCACATCTATATATCTGTAAAGAGCTAATGACATGCCCTGGTGATCTTGTTTGTCATTTGCTTATGGACAGGGAATGAAAGAGTGATTTTAGCTGCAGAGTAGCTGAATCTGAACCTATTTTCAGACGAGGATTATCCAGCCATGTCCTTAAGCATGGTACATCCCCCTCCCATAAGCTTTCCCATGTGCTGACTCAGGATTTTGCTTGGGCCCCTATAACAACATAAAGAATCTGGCCAAGCTGAATGCTGACCTGAGCCTTTCCTCCGTGCTCTATTACAGCCTGTCAGATTCTCCTCCACACAGAAATGCATGTGAGGGTAAACAGCACTGCTTCCCAGCTGGCTGTGCAGCAGTCTTTGCTCTATCCTACCCAGAAGCTGTGCTGTGCCAAGGTAATCAATACAACCAAGGAAATCCAGCATTGCCAGAGCAATCCTTACCTGCATTTTATTTTTAGGGTGTCTCCTGGAAAGATGACAGTGTCGTCTTCGGCAATGCTTAGCGTTGGTTTCTCAAAAAATTCTTCCTCAGCAAGACCTGACCCAAATAAAGAAGAAATCATCATTAGGCAGGCTATTCAGTGTGGCTAGAACAGGCACAATACAGTAGAGGCAAGCTTTTTGTTTTGTAAATAGTTCCTAATTTGGGGGCCCACACAGTGCTTGCATTTATACCAATGCAATTCAGTTGAGCGTGGAGTTAGTTGTGAGATCCCCTTAGTTTGTTTTTATTTTCCTTTATTTATCTCTTCTAACACTGAGCACCTGTATTTCTGCTAATAGTCTTTGTCTCCTTTTATTTAGAGCTAGCTTTATTACTGAATTATTGCAGATTTAGGAGAACAGATTTGTTTAAAAAGGATTTTACACACATATAAAAATGTAAAGAGTCAGGTCTTTGTGAAATAATTTAATGTGTGAGCTCATATATTATGTTTTAATCAATAGAAGAAGAGAAACAATAATTCTGGGGAGCAAGTCTTTGATTCACAACTGTGAAGCATCTGCTACATTAAAAGCAAATCAAAAACCTGCTGTTTTCCAAAGCACCATTCACAAATACTGCATTTGAAGTAAATAGCAAGCGACTTGCTTTGTGGGCATCATGGCTGTGTACTGATGTAATGCTCCAAGGCAAATTTGCAGTGGTGCCTGGGACACCATCATCAGTGCTAGTGTGACAAGGTTTGTCAGGTCTCTGATGACAATGATCTTTAATGACAGTAATGATAAATGTCTCTCTCATCATCATCTCCTGGTTCAACAAGTGTCTTCTAAATGTGAAACTGTCTTCAGTGAGATGCGTATCTGAGTGTACATCTATGACAACAGAGTTTGCAGAAAGTGAAACTGAGAAGAAACAGAAGTGAGGTTGGCCAGGCTGGTTTCCTTGTCCAAATTCAAAGTAACATAATCAAGGAAAGAAGAAAACAGATAAGTATCTCAGTTTCCAAAGCTCTGACATTAAAGTCGTATGTTTTCTTTCCCCTCCCACTCTTCAAATCTCTATCTTCTTCTTTGCCTTGAACTTGATAAGCCAGAAATCTTTAGCTGGGCTTATAACAGAGGCATTATTCCTAGCAGAATAGTGGAGATAACATGTCTAGCAAAAAAAGAAACATTAGGGTTTAACTTTTCAACTGGATGAAACAATGATTTTCTTGCCTCCCACCTCCCAACTCTCATCTCTTTTTTGCTGGATTTGCATAAAATGCTCTTAGCCTGACATATTCTCTCAGTGTGGAGAGTGAATCACTCCTGCTTTGCAGAGTCTGGCTTCTTCCATGAGCCATTCAAACTCCCATCAGTAACTCAGTGGAGACCAGCTAATCTCACAGCGCCAGAGAATCCTTCCCAAAGGGAATCCTGCCCAGACAGCTTGTTTCTGGAGTCCCTTCGAAGGCATACTGACCCTTCTTGTAGACTTTAAAGTAGTCCTAGCCATTGCTTCAGCATCAGAGATATCTCCCCCGCCCCATACCACCCCCAAGTTTTGCATCGCTGATGACACTATAGCTTTATCTCCAAAGTCCTTTGCAGAATAAGAAGTTGGATTCTGGCCAACACAAACTCCCTCCAATGCATCTATGTGACATTATTTAGCACGGCCCTACCTAAAAACTGCTATTATGTGTAGTGCCGTGGAAGAAAAAGAGCCAGTGGGTTCCAGCACTTCAGTTCCCCTGTTTCTTTTGAGAAGTACCATTATTCCTAAACACATTCAGGATGACATGTGCATGGTGCAGCATCGTGTTATCAAAGAATCAAGAGAAAAAGTCCCAAACTCTGCAGGAGACACTATCAGACTAGCATGCCCTTGCACCTGACTCTGGGTCCCCTCGGGTTTCTAGAAACAACCAGTTCACACTGAGCATGGGCTGAACTTTGGCATGTCTTATTTCATGATGCTGAGGTATTTCAGTCTCTTAAGACCATGTGCTGAGCTCTGCAAAAACAATCAAAAAAATGGCCAACAGCTTTGAATATGTTTGTCAAGTGTCATTTAATTTCCTAGCTGGGGATTGTTTGGGTCCTGTGTAGCTCTCTGAAGACACAGGTACTGCCGTGATCTGATCTGAGCTGTTTATGCTGTGACTTCAGCCAGGTGCTGCTTCGACTTAGAAAATCCTGGGGTTTGAAATAATCCTTTATTTCTTTCCTCTTGCGACTTCAAGTTGTTCTTAGGGCTTAGGGGGGTTTAGCTGATGTCTCAAGCTGGCTTTTTAAACAGGCCTGAATTTTACTTCTCATGAGCAAGTGTGACACTGTCAGAGGAGTCTAGAGTACAGTGCCAGGCAGCTGGCGTTAGACCTGAACTGCTATTGTGACCAGACAGCAATGCAGTCCTTGGGCTTTTATGTTATTTGAGGCTGTTTTTGCTAAAAGAAAGAGAAGTATTTTTCAATTATTCTGTTTATACTTCTGAGCTACTTTTTTCCCAAAGTTTATTTTGGCTTCAGGAGCTGAAGAAAAGAATAAGCAAAGTGTAATTTCAGTGCTTTTCCACCCCATGGAGGACAGGAGGAAAAAATTCCTCTGCCACACACACATTTGATCGCTGCTGCCAGGTGACAGAGGGTTTATATAAACACAGCATGTGCCCATTCTGGCACACCAGAGCCAAAGCTGAGAGGACCTGAAAGTTTGAAGGCAAAACTGAAAGAGTAGTAGGGGAAGAGGTTAGGCTGTGCTACATCAGGATGCCTAAATGCCAAAACTGGTAGGATGATGCCTCACAAAATTTTTAACCTCCCATGGCTGCTTTTTTGGAGGCAAAGCTGGGGATGGCCCTGGGGCATGTTGGATGAGAAGAAAGGGATCTACTCCACTTTTGTATTTATTTTATATATTTGAGGAGACTGGTTGCTTTAAGAACATGTTAGGATGCAGCAAGAAGCTTCCTGCAGAGAAACGCAGGCACATAGACTGCATCATGCTTGGCAGTGCTTACCCTTGTTTCCCACAATCTTGCACCCTAGCATTTGTTTAGCTTTGGATTTCCATTTACACGGTCAGTGGTGCCAGGGAAACTGGGATGGAGGTACAGAGGTAAATACTGGTTAGCTTATACAAAGACTGAGTCTTCTGGAACATGGTGTGCATTACTTGCTGGTAAGCTTTTTACTGCAGGAGTTGTGAAACACAGGCAGGTGTGATCTAGTTCTGGGAAGAGCAAAGTTAACCCGATGTTGGCATCCCATAGAAAAGCATTGTTTAAATATGCCATGTCACTTAGTTGCTGTGCTTTTCCTTCTTAGAATGAATGTGAATGTTCACCATTTTTAATATATTTCAATTTGGTTTTATGGCTTTAATCAATAAATGTCTCGCACTTATCAAAAAAAAGTTTTTCACAGCTACTCTGCACTTTATATAAAAACTCTCAGACCTGAAGAACATCTCTCTGAGATAGTACTCTGCGGTATGTTATAAAACCAGGACCTACAACCTGCCCAGGGTGGGGTGGGAGACCCATGCTGCTGGACCAAGTCCTGCTGAAGCTAATGTGCTGTGATTGCACAGCTCAGATTACAATGTCCAGGCCTAAAATAACATTCTCCTCTGCTAAATAATTTTGGTCCTGCTCTAGGGCTACAAGGTTCATAAAATTAAAAACAAGTACTTGCGCCAACCATGTCATTACCATAGCAAAGCTCTGCAGAGGAACAAACAGCTTGGCAGGCTCTGTTCTGCAGAACAATGTATAAAGGCCTAGGGAACAGCATCAGTACCGTGGCTGTGCCTGGTATTTTCTTTGTGAAGCTAACACTGCTGCCTGGTTAGGGTGAGGAACCTGGGGCAGCATCCTTCCTTAAATCCTCTGGCATGATTTATGGTAAGATGCTAGAGTGATAATACCCCAGAATTAGCAGAGAGCCCATTGCCTTGTGCAGAGCTACAAATAGGTCTTAGCACAACATCCCTCCTGTAAACCAAGGGAGAAAGACGGGCTCCTCCTGGGAAGTGACGCATTGCATCTGATGTTAGGTTCCTGCCCTCAATTACTTGTTGCCAATTCAAGTTGACTACAGCAAGACTCAGGAGTGTAGTGTCACCAGGCTAAAGATAGCCCCTAGAAAGAGCTATGAGTCAGGACAGACCTGTCCAGAGCCTCACTGCACTATTTCTAATTCTGAGGGTTCATTCTTAGCTTCAGTTTAGACTTTAACATTCTGCTCTTGATGGTGAAAACCCCAAACACAGCACAAACACGCAAATCCTTGGGGGTGAAATATGAAAGGATGCCTGATACATTATCCAGGGAAGAAAAGTGTATTAAAAACTGTTTTTCCTGGGATAATCTGATTTTGCAGTACAGCCAACATTAAACATGGGAGGATCCCCAGGCAGAGGGTAATGTGTGACCTCCCCCACCTCTCTGTCAGATGATTTCTAACTCCATCTCACTTGGCTGAGGGAGTTCCCTCCCATGCTAAGTGAATGCCTGATTGTTTGTGCTAGGACCATCAGTGAGCATGGATAATCACTGTTTCTTATTGTAACAGCCTCCCTTCAAGCATCCCCTAGGCACTGTAACTACCCAGCAGCTATCCCCAAAAGAGCACTCACAAATGCTTGTAAGACCGAACGTATCTAAGTATCGTACACATAGTGACAGCTAATGTCAATATGATATCTGATTAAGAGATCCACATATCCCTTCTGGGCACTGCAGCGACAGAGGAGGGGAAAGCTGAACAAACAATATCAAAGAGCACCTAACCTCTGCATCAGATGACAAAGAAATAATTGCTAGGCAAACCGGAGAATACTGTGTTGACAGCTAAATGAAGCAGGTTAGACTAAGGCCAGGATTCCACAAGGGCCTGGGCACACAATAGCTTTTTGCACATGGTTGAACTCTAGGGATTATTCATGTGTGTAAAGTCACTCTCGTGCATAGATCTGGGCCCTAGGACACATCAGGTCCCATTAGAAAGGACTGGAAATCAGAGTTTTAGGGCTGATTTTAGTGGAGGAAGAGGAGAGGCATATATACAACATTTTTAAACTGTTTTGTTCATTGCTAGCAATAGA